TGGAGATGGATGGATGGTTGCAAAACTATGTGAATGCACTTAATGCCACTGAACTGTACACCTAAAAATTATAGAAAAGGCACATCTTATATCATATGATATCGCTTATAGGTGGAATCTAAAAAAAATAGGACAAATGAACTTATTTACAAAACAGAAATAGAGTCACAGATGTAGAAAACAAACTTATGGTTACTGGGGGGGAAATGGGGGAAAGGATAATTAGGAGACTGGGATTGACATATACACACTACTATACATAAAATAGATAACTAATAAGGACCTACTGGAGAGCACAGGGACCTCTACTCAGTACTCTGTAATGGCCTATACGGGAATAGAATCTAAAAAAAGAGTGGATATGTGTATATATATAACTGATTCACTTTGCTGTTCACCTGAAACTAATACAACATTGTAAATCAACTATACTCCAATAAAATTTTTTTTAAAAAATGGTACATTTTATGTTGTGTACATTTTACCACAATTTTTTTAAAAAGAGTCCAGAGCCCCAGGCACCCCAGGTCCTTATAGTACAGAATGGCTGCAGTGACCACTCACAAGTGGCTCAGGACAGTCCCAATCTCACACTATGATGTTATTGAAGGCGGTTCTTTAATGCATAACAATGTGATTGTCATGCCATTCCTTAGTAAGACTTTACATAGAAATAAATCCTCTTATCAGGAAAAGTTTTGGACAGACCAATTTGGAGCTCAAAGAAAAAAAATCTACAAGGCACCAGGCGAAGGTGCCCTTATCGGGCAGGCTGACCCAGGTACCAAAGCCCTCCATCCTAGGTCCACTCTGTCCCCAGGGCCTGCCCCAGGCCTCACCCCCACCAGCAGGGAACAGAAGGCAACTCCAGCAAGAAGGTGCCTGGAAGGGGGGTGGGCAGGCTTCTGCAGTTCTCATGGGGCTGAGCTTCCCACACCTCACCAGGGGCAGGGGACCCAATGGCCAGAGTGGGGGACGGCAAGTGATCTTGGGACATGGAATCATCCTGTGCATCCAGGATGCATGGGGACTGGAGTGGGTTGAATGGTGCCCCGCCCCCCAAATTCATGTTCACCTGGAATCTGTGCATGTGGACCTATTTGGAAAAAGGGTCTTGCAGATGTCATTAGGATAAGGTTCTAGAATTTTGGTCATCCTGGATTATCTGAGTGGGCCCTAAATCCAGGAACAAGTGTCCTTATAAGAGAGAAGCAGAGGGAGATTTGAGATACAGAAGAAGGCTGTGTGACAACAGAGGCAGAGACTGGAGAGAGGCATCCACCAGCCAAGGATGCCAAGGAGCGCCGGCTGCCGCCAGAAGCCAGGAGAGAGACCTGGAAAGGATGCTCCCTCAGGGCCTCCTGAAGGAACCGAGCCTCGGACACCTTGAATTTGGACTTCTGGCCTCCAGAGCTGGGAGAGGATCAACTGCTGTCGTTGTAAGCTCCCCAAGCGGTGGTACTTGGTTACAGCAGCCCCAGGAAACCAAGGCCCTCGTCAGTCAGAGGTGGAAGAGGCAGAGGGCCAGGAGGGCCTCGGGCCAAGCTTCTCATCTTGGAGACAAGGAGAGTGAAGCCCTAGCAGAGAGGGTCCAGGAAGCTGATGACCGCAGCGTCTGTCCAGGCCAAGAGTATGAAATGCCCGGGACCCAGAGGCAAGAGGGTGCAGCAGAGTGAGGACCGAGGCACGCCTCCCACGGTGGGGGCTGTCCAGCTCCCTGCCCTCCCCATGACCGTGACACAGGACCCCCCCCGCCCCGCCCCCGAGCAGAGCAAAGTGCCAGCTCTCTCCTCCCGGGTGCAGTGCAGCCCGGCCCTTCCAGGCCCCCGCGCCAACCTTCCTGACCAAGCGGAGAAACGTCCACATTCTCTGCAGACAGCTCACCGCGTGGCCCTTCCCACCCCCCACC